CAACCACAAATTACATCCAAAACTCACGAGAGAAATACATGTAGACCGTACAAATATTTATCCCGAACCGGGACCTCTGCGTGACAGCCCAGCATGGTAACCGTTCGGCCACAGAGGCAGAATTAAGCGTAGTCTATATAGCCACTAAAGTAATGGAAAGTTCAGTGTATTAGGTACAAAACTTAGTAAATTCTATTGTGTGATTATACGACCAATCTTTACCAAGATTACATAGTGTTTAACATTATGATAGTGTGAGTTTTGGCGACAGCGGTTCTGACAGTAATCGAGGTTTAAAGACCTTTCATTGTCTTTTTGTTCCGTGAAAGTGCCGATCGCTGGTCTCTGCCTACCAAATTCCAAACGAGTGAATGTATGTTTATTTTTATAAAATACCAAGTGACCGGACTAACAAGTCGTGTGTCTGGTGGTAAGCTGCACGACTGTCCGTGTCAGTTGCAGTGCTACTCAGAGCTTTAAATCGCAAAGACACTGCCACTGCGCCTGTAATATCATCAGCACCCTTACACTTCAAAACTGGAACACGGTACTGGATCATATTATTGCTTGGCGGCAACTTTCATACTGCCATCTTACCTATTTAAGGTAAGATGGCAGTATGGAAGTACAAAAAATCTGAGGGACACTGCCACTGCTTCCATCGCCCTGTTTTAATAGCAGTAGAACTCCTCACAAAAGAGTTCGTCTAGGGACATACCTTACCTATTTCTGCCGCCAAGCAGTAATGTGAACATTACTGAGTTCCTGTTTGGAAGGGTACCTAAGTGTGCTGGTAAAATTACAGGCACATGGGACTTGTCAAATTATGTCACAGGGCGACGGGCGCAGTAGCATTGCCCCATCTTTGCTATTTATTTCTTTTATTTTAATATATATTATTATAATATATAATTTTTATTTATAATTTCACTAAAGCTTCGTTGGTAGTATACGGCGGTCTTTTTTATTAAATCTGTGTCATTCAGTATTTGTTTTTGTGTATTCACCTGTATTTGAAACTACGTAACAGTTTGTTATATAAAGATAGAGAGAGATCGTTGTTTATCGATTCTACTTTTCACTTTTGTCTTTGTATTGTCACCATTTCCTTTGTTTGCCACAAAGTTTATTCAATTCTATTCTAGGAGGCTCTTTTGAAAGACATGACAATTGGATTCAGATTATTTACATTTTAAATAAATAAAACATACATTATTATTTTATATTTTGAAAATTCATCTGACAATAGGAAAATCTGCGTGACATTGCAATTTGTGATGGGTAAGTATACAGCTTACCATCAGGCGCACGAATTATTACGTGAAATAAAAAAAATTGGAAAATATGAAAGGGTCCTTTAATTAAGATTTTTTTATAAAGTAAGAGGCAAACGAGCAGATGAGCCATCATTGATGGGAGGTAATCATCGTTGCCCATGGATATCTGCAACACCAGAGGAGCTGCCTAGTGCGTTGCAATAATTTGAGAGCCCTTTTGAGTCGCTTTGAATAACCCCATACCACGGCGCCATGGTAGACTTAATGGTTTGACTTACCAACATTCAAGCAAAGGCTATGGGTTTGAATCCTTGCTCGCACCTCTGAGATCTCGGAATTTATATGCGAAATTTGTTATGAGCTTTTCGGTGCAGAAAAACAATATGATGAAACCTACTCGTCGAAGAAGGTCAGCGTCAACGAGCATTGGGTCAGGGTAACGGATTATAGCCTAAACCCTCACCTGATAGAAGAGCCGTGCCCAGCAGTGGACTTATAAATGTGTTAACCATGACGACGATAGCGCACAGGAAATATTTTAGGAGAAAGGCTAATCCACTTTTTTGTTACATACAATCTTTTTCATATTTCTAACTGTTAAGAAGCAGTTTTAAAATATAACAATATAACATTGACTTACAAATAAATGGACGACGGGTCTAATACAAAAACCACGAAAAAAATGTCCCAAGTCAACCTATTCGAAATTTAAATTGTAATGTCATCGCAGTATCGCGCTGTCAGTCGAACAAATGAAGGCTAAAGCGGAGTTTGCCGCTCTGTATACGATTTTAGCGCCTTACAAGTGCGGACACTTTTTAGCGCGGACCCGACGTCCATATAATTGTAAGTCAATGCAATATAATAATAGATTTTTTCTAGACTGAACCCAGAGAGCTCGCTGACAGAGACGAAACATAGTGACATAAGTCATTGTCCGCGAGTCGCCACTCCTTAGAGGATGGAAAAAATAAAGGAAAGGAGCTGCCTTATCTACAGAAGAAACGTCCCTACCTAAATCAAAAATGTCCACCACAAAAGGCGAATTTAGTCTTGTACTATAATCACAGATAAGTCAATATCGACATGCAAATGTATGGCTTGAATGTTGAAACTGTTGTTACTGTGTTTTATGTTTGCAAATTTGTGTAGTTTACTTTAATCAAAGTATGATTAATACTAGGCTATTATTACTAGGCAAGTAATGAGCCATTTTAATCAAAATTAAATATAAAGTTATTTACCAATAAATGTAACGATGGAATTGCATTATCATGTAATTTAGTTATATTCAAAGTTCTATTTAAATTTGTATGGAGTGAACAAACGAAGATGGTACTTGATATAATGTATGTTCGGCAGTCCTATTATTTCCAACCATCTTTTCTTTCTTTTTCATTTGTAGGTAAACTTTAAAAATAATAATAACGAAATAATAAAAGCCTTGTAGTGAATGGTTTTAATAACAGAATATCGATAATATCTCTGCTTACAAGAACAACACTATCTCAAAATAATCGTTATCAACAATCATCAAAATATACTAATAAACAGGCAATCTAAAGTAACTAAAGCAAAATTCGGCAAGGCTTATGAATAAACTACTTAAATGAGTCTAATTACATGAGATATTTCGACTATTGTATGATTTATAGGCAGAGAAATAACACATACCGGTGTGATGTAACATTCGGTTGATTTCCGCTTTTTCAGCTGCCGCACCCCTTAAAACTGCAGCGACTCATTTTTATCAATACTTATTGTCCTTACTGTCTATTTTAATATTTTTGTCCATTTCATTACTATTCATGCAAATAATTCACTAAAACATTTGGCCAAACATTGGTGTTAACTTTCCTTTGACAACCGGACACGGATGTCAAAGGGTACTCCAAAAATGGTAAAATGAGGACAATTGGCATTTAAGATGACGTTACGTATTTTCGATTCCCGTGTTTGACATAAATCAATGTAGTGCTATCTCTTTTGGCTTACAACGGCACGCAGTAGTTAAACAAAGACAATAAAATGTTTATGTTTGTGTATGTTTTCACCGTCTAAATACATCATATGCATATAACGTCTGATTGTATATGTCAATATAACATGTCCTTTGGTTTCCATAGTCTACGCGCAGCTCTAACCAGTTGTCAACACAAATTAGAAAATGTTATAATGTTCTTTCGTAGAACTCCAAAACTACAGAAGTAATTTTTCGAATAAAAAAACGTGAGACAATGGCGCAATACTTTGGTACCGTGTAAGCTGCGAATTCATTATTCTCAACGATGTTCTTTCTTTTATATATTTTTTTGTTTTGTTATACGGCAAAAAGCAAAGTATGTACAGGGATGACTGTGCTAAATCCACCTTTGTTCCTTTGTTATAGAAATAAAACGGCAAAGTTTTTATTTGTTTTCTACTTTAATAAATATTTTTATTGTGCTATTGCGATATGTTCTAAAAAAAAATATTTGTCTCAATTTATTTACAAATAACTTTTTTGAGAACATAATTATCTAAAGGTTATTATATAATGCAAACAGATAATTGTATGATATTATATATTGTATATATATATTGGATGAACCTCCTATGACCCAGCGCTGTACACATACAATCAGGAGGTGAGAAGTAATACCTAATCAAATTAAAACACAATGTTAAGTATGAACCTTCATTTCATCGAGTGTATAACCAGAAATAGAGACGAAATGTCAATTTATTTGAAAACTACTCTGCCAAATCGTTACGGTGACAACTACGCTTCGATTGGCCAGTCCGAATTCAAATGAAATAAATACAAAATATTTTTGAAATATACGGAAACGTACACACAGGTCAGTTGTTGGCGCTGTACCATTTTAGCTTTCTAATTTGTGATTTCAGCTCAAACGGGAGTTGATATTTAGAAGTGACATAACGCCCATTTGCCTGAAGAGTTGCCAGGAAAAGATGGCCCTTATGTCGTCTCTATTTCTGGTTATATACTCGATGCTTCATTCGCATCATGCGTCTTATTAAATTCGTTGATTACCACTAATTTGACAGTAATGGTTTCGAACAGATGTTCGACGGAGAACAAAAGTACAGGTCACTCCAGATACAAACAAGTATGCCCTCAATGTACAACAATCGCAATTGGGAATTTTTGAACTATTTTTGTAGATATTCTATAAGAATGCAATTAAAACATGTTCTAAAAAAATTGCTCGATTTATTCTAAAATTATTAAAAAAAACGGTTATACATACGACACATATTTACTTAAAATTATTGCCTGTAATCATTGACTTTCAAATAAATGGACGTCGGGTCTAATACAAAAAACCACGAAAAAAATGTCCCAAGTCAACCTATCTAAACGTAGTGACATGTAAAGGAATATGAAAAAGCTAAAACGTTGAATTTAAATTGTAATGTCATCGCAGTACTGTCTAATTTTGCTTGCTTCGCTGTCAGTCAAACAAACGAAGACTAAAGCGTGAATGACGCTCTGTATACGATTTTAACGCCCTATAAGTTCGGACACTTTTTAGCGCGGACCCGACGTCCATATAATTGTAAGTCAATGCCTGTAATCTATAGAATACTAACTGCTTTCGTATTTCATAAGCTACCAAATAAATGCAAAAGATATGATATACGCAAATAACTTTCCTTAACTTCGTTCCGCCAGCTCGAGTCCTGCGAAATTTCTCAATATTTTATGTGTTCACATGTTCACATACCCGATTTCAGCATCACGTAATACGAGAAGGTTGATTTGATTATCTAGAATATTCAAGTCATATTATAACTTAGTATTCTTTAAAAAGCTAGTGAAAACAATATAGTTGAAGGATAAGGGGTAATGTCTAATGCTGTTTTCATTATTGACACTGTTGCCTATTTGTTTTAAATAGAGGCAAAAGAGGACAATACTACGCTAATAAAGCCGTTATAACCCAATACTGTATATATAATAATAATAGATCTGCAACAAGCACATGGAGAAAGTCGTAAGATCTGCTGGCTCTATTGGGAGGGCGGTAGCCATGTTGAGGCAACAGTCGCTGGTTCGAGCAAAATCACGTTGAAGGAATTTTGCAATGTTTGTTCGATCTTGTATTAATAATAATATAGGGAAACTGTATACATACATAACTGCCTCTGTGGCCGAACGGTTACCATGCCGTACTGCCACGCAGAGGTCCCAGGTTCGATTCCCGGGCCGGGAGAAATATTTGTATGGCCTACATTTATTTCTCTCGTGAGTTTGGGTGTAATTTGTGGTTGTGTATGTGTGTGTGTCCATGGCACCCGCGACACAGGGTTACCCTAGTGCGGGGCTGTGATGAGTAAGTGTGCGTTTTTTAAAAAAAATAGGGAAAGAAATTAAAAAGCCTTTAGACTCGTAACTTGAACGTGTTTTATCGTAGTTTTTTTTAATAGACAATTAATAACTATTTTTAAGTTTAACAAACTAGCGGACCTTACAAATATTTCTATATGCTTTTTGAAGATCTTCGTCTTTGGTTTTTAACGACTTTTTTACCATCTGTGAGAAATCTGTCTTCACTGAGCCCGGAACCTTTACAGCTACCAGCAGCTGACCAGAGATATCGCTTTAATTGTAATTTTGAACTTTAAGTTCACCGCAATAATATTCAATTATTTTTGTATTCTAGTTCGTTTCGTGGCTTAGGTGGCGTAGCGTCTGGCACTGTTTGCTAGATGACGTAGGTTTGACTTTAGACGGATCAAAGGTTTTTTCCTAAGTGTTGGATCTTTGTTGTAATTATAATTACTGAACTATATCAAAAAGGATGTGTTGCTGCTACTCGCGCACAGGCACCTTATTATGAAAAAATGATTGGTTAGAGTAATATAAAATGTAATAGAACGGAGGCAGCTTGAAAATTGACACTTCTCCACACGATACGTTGCGTCGGCGTTACTACGTATAAATTAGGATTACATGCCACATAGTGCTTTGAAATGACGCACGGCGAAAGAACGCGCCGGACAAGGGGACAGGAGATGAAGCGGGGACTGGTGCTGTGGTGAGTTAGCAAGAGCGGCCTTACGTAGCGACTCCGCATATAAAGGAATATGCTAAGAAAATTAACTAAGAAAAGCAGAGTTTGCGAAGTCTAGTACGAGAAGAAAAGGCATCGAGTCGTCTGTGGTTGGTTAAAGACAAGGAATGAAATGGAATAATTGAGTGCTTTTGTCAATCAAATACAACAACAACAGACAACACAGTCTCAGGTGCCAACTATAAGTGCAACCGCAGATGTACTCGCAGCCTACGCCTACTAACTAGATGTGGCTTATTTTTATATAGTTTTATTTCAAGTCATGAAAATCAGACTTTAGCACTCTTTGACAAAATAGCGAGAACAACACTATAGACAAATTTGTGATGCAGTAAAAAAATTAATAAACTCTTCATAACCGAGGAACACTTACTGATATCATTGGGCTTACACCGGCACTAAGTCCTCCCATCGCTTTAAACACCAATGGCGGCTGAACTCTTCCTAATAACATGATGATCATCTTCTGGTTCGATACAGACATATTCTCCCATGGCAAATAGTACACGAGAGCTGCTAAGCCGTCGCTCTGTTAAAGAATAAACGCCTTTAGTCCAATCGAAATAAGGTTTTGAGGTCGCATGAAAGATAGCTAAAAAGTTTTTGTTCTTTTCTTTCATTTTTCATTTGGGACTCTAGATACCGGTATGTATAGCAAGTGGCACAAATAATTTTTCGTTGTTGTGGCATCAAAATTAAATATTGGACCACCTAAACTTATCTTCCATGCACGCTGCGTACGCTTTTTTTTATGATACCAAGTACAGGGACGAATAAGTCGTGTGCATGGTGGAAAGCGACACGCCTGTCCATAACAGTTGCAGTGCCACTTAGGGCTTTAAACCTCAAAGATTTGACGGGCACTCCCATTGCGCCCGTCACCCTGAGATATAAGTTGACAAGTCCAATGTGCCTGTAATTTCACCAGTACCTTTACCCTTCAAAACCGGAAAGCGGTAATGCTCACATTACTGCTTGGCGGCAGAAACAGGTAAGGTATATAATAGGTAATAGGTGAGATAATTTGCTTATAGTTTTAGACTAATATTATAGAATAACTAATTTCATGAACAATTGTATACCCGTATACAGTGTTTGTGCTCCTCTATTTTCATTCTGACTAAACTGTACCATCACAGTCTTGAAATTTGTAACTAGTATGGAGTTATTAGGTTTTTGCGATTGTTACACATTCAAAAATCTATATCTAGTACATTAACCTGAGGATGTGTAATAATAGTAAGAAGTGTATTCCAACTCGAAAAAAAGACTCGCTGAATCTGAGTCGTTTTTTCGAGTCGGTTCGAGAGGTCTATATTGGTTTGGGATCAGGCCATGGTCCAGTATTTTAGATAGTACAAAACAGTACAGAATACATTCATTCCCTAGTTTGCCACTCTTAGAGGTGGAATATTTTCTTCAAATTTAAATGGAACTACATCTGAGGTACTGCCTCAGCTATCGCATAACATATCTACACAAAAAAAGAGAAAAAAAAAACAAAAAACATAAGTCGAATTGCGAACCTCCAACTTTTTATTGAAGTGGGTTAAAAGTTGAGTGGTTCCGTTACTCTAGTGCTAATTAGTGTGAGTGTCTGGCACATTATTATTATTGTTATCTATTTTTTTTTACTAGAAATTCATAATACAAATAATTAGTGGTTGATTATAAAGTTGTTATTCGTTATTTAATTTTACAAACTTGAAAATATAATTAGTCCATTCGTACGTTATCTATGGTGGGCGTCAGACGTTGACTGTGTTTAGAGTTTTTGAATAATAATTAAGCTGTTTGAACTTGTTTAACATCGGAGGGTCTGAGGCAAAACCGTGTAAATTGCAATAAGTGTACAAACATTCGTGAAATTAGTTATTTTCCTCTTAATTATATGGTATACTTCTGTGTACTTTTGAATGGTATATTATATTGGGTTAGATGATATGATCACATGGACGCGTTCTTGAGTGACTGGCCGAAGACTGCTGCGGATAGAGAGAGTTGGAATTCCGAAAATATAGTACATCTAGTATAGTACACCTCCTTGTGAAAGAGTTCGTATAATGAAGCAGTAATGTGGACACTACTGCATTTCGGTTACGAAGGGTATTTTTATATAATACTAAGTTACGGGACGAACAAGTCGTGCTCCTGATGGCATGCTACATGCCAATTACAATGCCACTCGGAGCTTAAAATCGTAAATATCTGAGGGTCACTGCCACTGCGCCTGTCACTCTGAGACAAGTAAGTAAGTTGACAAGTGCCATGTGGCTGTAATTTCACCAGCACTCTTACCCTTCAAAACCGGAACGCAGTAATGCTTACATTACTGCTTGGCGGCAGAAATAGGTAAAGTGGCAGTATTTACCTGGACAAACTCTTTCACAAGGAGGCTTACTGCTGTTAAAAGTAAATAAAGCGGGTGAAGATGCTGATGAAATTACAGGCACCTAGGATTTATCAACTTTATGGTTCAAGATTGCAAGCGCAAGGGCAATCTTGAAAGGTAGGCGTGTCGACTACCATCAGAGACATTTCTTGAAATTGACAGCAAATACTACACAAAATAAGTGTAAAACGAAATTTCGCACTATCATTTGATCGGCAAGATGCGTAGCTTGTATAATTCGACTATGTGGTTTGTCGTACCAAGGAAAAGATGTCTACGTCGTAGCAACGTCGTAGCAGTAATGTGAGCATTACTACGTTCCAGTTTTAAGGGTGATTATGAAATTACAGGCACAAGGGACTTGTCAACTTATGTCTCAGTGTGATGGGCGCAGTGGCAGTGCCCCTGAGGTTTTTGCGATTAACAATCACCTGGTATTATAAAAAAATAAGTAGATATCAGTGGGCAGTGCTCTTCGCGCAATGAAGCAATTGAATCTAACTAAAAAAGTATTCATGGATAAGTCTGAGGCCAAATCTAACTACGAGTACATAGCCTTTGTAACGAACAGATAGGTTGGGGATATTTTAATTGAACAGACCCACAGTAGTCTATGGCGACGACCTTGAACGCTCTGGAGGTTGTAGTAACAAACCTGTCAGCTATTTAGCTATCTGTTTTAATTCTGTAAGCATTTGTATTTTTGGTCATTTCGGCAGCCCATTGCATGCAATTTATGTACGACTGTCCTGTATACAGAATATTACGGATCCCTATGCATTTATTCACAACATCACACACGGAGATCGCATTGACGCGTGACTCAACGATGTGACGGCTATGTGTGACGCTGTATTTAGCGCCATATATGAACTAAAATCTGTTCTATGCTAAAGTTTAGTCGATAGTCGCTGCGATAGGCTTCACTATGTGAGAACCACCTATCTCTTAGTTTTACGCGACCTTATCTAGTCACAGTTAATAAAGGTAGAGGAATATACTTTTGCCTATTGTAAATAGTTTCCATTGTTTGCTAAATTTTCTTGTGTTACATTTTTATGTAAAATTTAGAGAATAATTAATTAGATAGAGTGGGTGCTCGACCAAATGACATGTTTGGGCCAACTAGGGTAAACAAATTTTTTTAAGGTGATGGATTCAAAATGGAGGCCCGAAAAAAGTGGTACAATCCAGGTGAAATTTAGCATGCGGCCACACACATATAGGGGGCTCGCTGGCAAACATCGACAGGGAATTTTTTTCATCAAAACCAGCAAGTTAACAGTGTTAAATAACGTAGCCACGTTGAGGCGACAGACGCTGGTTCGAATCTCCTTTGTGTTTGTCCGGTCTTTGCAGCAAAAGTAGCATCAAACAGACATTTCACAAATTTAAAAACAACACCAGTAAATTAATTAGTCAGTATAGTTACCTAATTGTAATAAGAATCATGTATCGTAATCCAAAGCTTGAGGTATCCTAGTCTACTCACGAAAAATTCAATCTACATTCCTGTCAAAGTTACCTGTCTTCTTATTTCTTCAAGTACGAGCGACATGAGAATAAGGCACCCGACATAAACCACAAACATCAGCCCGTATATCACCAGGCTCCCTTTGTCCTAAAACAAGATATAAAAAACCTTATAACATTATTTTGTATGGTCAAGGTTCCTGTAAAGAAACATTTAGTGTAGTTTTTTTTGAAGCGGTTACTCAAGTTCTTTGTTAATGTAACGTTTAATGATTTTGAACGTTCTTCCATATATATAATGTGATTTGAACTTTCTTCCATAGAAAATCTCAATATAAAAATCATTACCATTCCCATTCCCTTCATAACCGGAAAGCGGTAATACTCACATTATTGCTTGGCGGTAAATAGGTAAGGTGGCAGTACTTTCTTAGACGAACTCTTGCACAAGTTATTTATTACCACTTTACAACGTTTATATTATATAATCAAGATATAACGTGAAAAAGAAACACGTATTTACCCCAACCATTACTTGATACATAAGAAGGCTGTCCGCAATCAAATTATAAAAGTAATTCGCTGTCACGTTCAGCCCAAACGCGTTCTCCATTTCTCTGAAAATGCTGAAATAATTTTACTACTAAATAACTTTGTATCATCTACATGATTTATTTTATTAAATTATACCTATTTTCAATTCTTTTGTTCTCCGGTACAATGAAATAGCATTAAAAAAAGGTTAAATCGATTACTATAGTAATGGATTTAACTTTTTGAAACCTACCTGGATCTTTAGTATTATTGCATCAAAATTTTATTGAAATCGATTAACGAAACGTGGGCGATACCATCTAATTTGCCACGCTTAGAGATTGATTTTTTTTTTTATTTGATAGAGAATACTAGTGAGGTACCCCCTTTCCAATAAAATAATATAAAAATAATAAAAAAAATAAAAAAAATAATAATAAAAAAATAATATAAATACAGTCTAATTGAGAACCTCCCCCTTTTTTGAAAGTCGGTTTAATAAATGAAAACTTTTTATAATAAATAGTAATTAAATCGAATAACTATAAAGAAGAATTCCTTTGATCTGCCTGAACTTGTATCCACGGTGAGGCAACAGGTTCTGGTTGGTTAAAAAGGATTTTTTCTTTATGTTTGTTCCATCTTTATTCTAATGGCGTTTTTTCACAAAAAAACATATGATTATAAGTAGTAGAATAAACATCTTAATATTTTCTTCTCTTCTTTTTTCGTTCTTTTAATCTGTCACGGTTTCAGGTCTTCCTATTTATTGTTTCTCTACATATACTCTATATACTCTCGTTGTATACTCTATACGTGTTCAAAGGAAGTAGTGCCCCGTAAAATAAGAAACTACATAAGTTCATCCAATCCAGACACAAGGTCTATAACATCATTGAGTCATAACCGTTGAAACTTTTTACGTTTAAAATAAAATAGAAAAATATGTTATAATACACCCCTCGTGGAAGAATGGCATAATATTTTTCTGTATCTAATGGAGCAATAAACATTTTTGACGTAACTCCACATATGCCATTCTTCCATGAGGGGTGCGAATGTGGTTTTTTGAAACAAAACCTCGGAACACACATCTTGCTACTCTAGCAGAAATGTGCTTAATGGACATACGTGGTTATTTGAACAGTGTTGGTTTATCATCTAAGTGCAATGGGAAAACGTTTCAAATAGCTGCATGTTCCTATGACTTTAGTTTCTAAGGTACAGGTCATGAGCACATCAAGCTTGACACTTTATACTTTGGACCGTTCTTATCGTAAGCGGCATAGATTTGGATTTAAGTCTTAAGTGTCAAGCTTGACGTCCCTGTACAATTGTGAATGTTTGGTTACAATATCTCAGCGGTGAACAGAGATGGGTAAGTGTCAGGGTTTTAACCCGGTTAACGCCGGGTTTAAATCGGTAAAATACCATTAACGCCCAAAATCAAGGGCAAAAACGATTTATAACTAAATATTTGTTGTAAATCGAACTTTATTCAAATGGTTCAGATGTTTATTGCTTTCTGGTCTAGACGATTCGATTTGCCTTTCTATTGAATTCATTCGCTTGAAAATCGCATTGCAATAAATCAATACAAAAAATCGTTAGATCGTATGCACTTGAATCGATCTTCATAAAAATTGAATCATAATGTGCATCTTTAGCAGTAAACATTCACAGGATTGCAATGTAGGTATTGTGTGTAGTCTCTTTTTCGTACATTAATATTAAGCAGAAATGTCAGCATTACTGTGTTCCGGTTTTGAAGGGTAAGGGTTCTGGTGAAATTACAGGCACATGAGACTTGTCAACTTATGTCTCAGGGTGACGGGCGCAGTGGCAGTGCCCCTCAGATCTTTGCGATTTGAAGCTCTGAGTGGCACTGCAACTGTTATGGGCAGACGTGTAGCTTACCATCAGGCGCACGATTTGTTCGTCCCGTCACTTGATATCATAAAAAAAATATTATAAAAGATAATGACAATAATAATAACAACTCACACATTCAACATAGACAACCACGAATTACACCTAAACCGACGAGAGAAATATATGTAGGCCATACAAAATAATATTTCTCCCGGCCCGGGAATCGAACCTGGGACCTCTGCGTGGCAGTCCGGCCTGGTAATCGTTCGGCCACTGAGGCAGTTATTATAGGTTATAATAGATTCACAGTTATTTTGCAGTTATAGGAGATTTTTATAATATATTATATTATACTAAATATCGTATTCGCCGTTTCTGCCCACGATCTTGGGCATCAATGGATTAAAACCTGATTAAAAACTGTGGGTAAAAACCCAATTAAAACAGGTTGATTGAGTTTTAACCCATCCGTTACGGTGAATGAAAACTTCGTGATGTAACCATTCGACCTTTGGAAAATCTGACCAATCCCCTTTTCTCAGACGAGATGCATACCAGCTATTTATCGAAAAAAATATTAGAATTTTTTTCAAATACATTGTAACTTCTGTTCTGATCGTGATCTCCTGTAAAAATGTATTTATTGACTATGTATGATTATTTCTCTCAAATGATGATAATTGTTTCTACGTACTCATACACTGCCAAATCACACTCATAGTTTTTCTTCTTCTAATTTAAGAGCTAAAGTCTTGTCGGTGGAGTAACTTAATTTACCCATCGATTTACTCTCGTAAATTATATTTGCAAAAATTTTAACATTCATTATATTATGAAACAGATTTGTTAAGCTCTTTCTACACAATGACAAATTTCATTAAGAAGGTTAACCCTTACGAGTATATCAAAACGTAAATGTTTCATGCAGTACGTACTTTACTAGGTACTTTCTTCGCGAACTTGTCACTTAATGTTAATCAAGTAAAATACAGGGTTAATTAAATTTCTGTGCAACCGAGAAGTTGATAAAGTATTTGATGACAAAGAATGGTACAGATCCCTTACATACCAGTCGGTTAGCAGTAGAGCCTCTTGTGGAAGAGTTCGTCCAAGAAAGTAATGCCACTATTCCTATTTCTAATGTAATGGGAACATTATCTATTTCTAATGGAAAAGAAAACTCGTGTCCAAGATTTCTCCTAAAGCCCCTATAAAGACCCTTAGGTTTAAATCGCCTCTGTGCGTACCTTTGGCCACTTCGAACTTTCTGCGGAATGCATGTCTCTTGCATGCGAACAGCTTTAATGTATTTTCCAAGTAGGTTGATATTAACCTTTTTAACACTAGTATTGCGTAGTAACTATACATGTATAGATAGTTACTAATCATATAGTTATAATTTGCTCATTAATCAACTTAATGTGTGTCTATCGGTGAGGTATAATTAGCTCTAGCCATTACTATTTAAGTTTTTATCCTGTAAGATAACCGTTAGTCTTCCAATAAGTTGAAATAAAAATAAAAAATGCATCGTTCCGGTTTTGAAGGATGAGGGTGCTGGTAAAACTACAAGTACATCGGATTTGTCAGCTTTACGTCTCAAGGTGACGAGCAGCAGTGCCTGCACAGCAACTGACATACTATATAAGTAGACGTGTCTCTTACTACCAGGCGAAAGTCTAAAGCGTAGGCCACACCGCGAACGAAGCTAGGTAACTTAGCTCAAGTAGTTGCATGCAGAGCTAAGATAAAAAAATACGTAGTAAGTAGTGACTATGGATACGTGAGGGGGTGAAGGGAGACAGAAGGGTGACATATTTTACATAGCTAGCGGGATCTTTGGGTTAGTTTAGTTAGCTCGGTTAGCTTAGTTCGCAGTGTAAACTGAAGCATGAAAACGATGCTCTGGATACGTTGGCATGTGACGTTGTTACGATGCGACCTCCTCCATCATCATCCTGCCTTTTTATTACCTTTGCTCTGATTCCTGGCCACTTATTTTCAAATTTTGAATCGTTCTTTAATTCCTCCGCCTCGTCCTTCTCACTTTGTTTCGTCCCGTCGTCACTTTCTCGTCTTCACCGCTAATTTTGATCCGTTTACCAGTGTCCATTTTATATCATATGCCTATTTAATACCACTAAAATCTAGTAGTATTTGTAAAATACTGCCCTGTTTCGCGGTAAGTTTAATCTCACAATTTATAGTATATAAGTAGATTGTTTTTAATGCTGTACTTGTTTTTATACCATTTTTTGTCACAGCCCGTTGTTTCACATTTATCGAATACAATAAATTTATGTTATGTGACCGAGTAATCTATTTTATTACTCCCTATTGGTGGTTTACAACTTTTTCAAGCTGAGCTAAGTTAGCTAAGCTTTGTTCGCGGTGTGGCCTGCGCTTTATTCATCCCGTTAGTTAATATTAGGGAAAAAACAAAAAGAAATATGATTTGTGGGGAGGTAGATAAATATATTGCGATGTTTTTTGAGATTATTTCAGCTGGCATGTGAGGTATATGGTTGACTGACTGACATTGACAGACTAGCGGACGCAGACTTTTTTTAAATTAATTATAAATGAAATGAAAATACAAATATACGCGATTTAATTCCGGAAAAATAGTTTAATTTCCTATAAATGAAATAATTAAATTTCGAAGGAAAAAAAAAGACTCGTATAATGAAGCCTTCACCTGGATCACCTGTCTCATTATTTCAACGAGTGCCCTCTTTTCTCGACTTTTATGATTATTTACAACTGAGTTCATAGTTACACGTCAAAAGAAAATTTAATATAAATTAATGTTGATTTTAAAAGATTTATTGAATGTCACGAAGTTTGACCATCATGATACTAAAATGTTGTTGTTAAATTACTCAAGTAGTTTCTTACAATTATTCATACAAAGACAGAATACTTAGAACCCGGCTGGTTCGAACCAACGTCTTCTGACGCTATGCCAACTAAGCCACGGAACGAACTAGTGGACCTTAAGTATTTTTGTATGTACTCGCAGACTTTTGTTTTTGGTTTTTAATTATTAAAAATTTTCTGTAAATCTTCAAAAATAAATTAAACATATATTATGAAAATTTAGCTGTCTGATTTTGTTTTAAAGTATCAACTTTTACAAACATATTTTTCATACATGAAATTCGAGAATAGTAATTTAAATCTGAACTAATGCATTTTTGAAACATATAAAGATAAATTTGTCATTGAATTAACTAACTTAACCCTTGACGCTGAAATCAGTTATTATGTTTGAAACCTTTGTCTGTGTCTTTGTGTGTCTGTCTGTCTATATCCATCGATCTACGCCAAACAGATGAAGTGATCCGAAAGCGGTTTTTTATACTACCTCAGCTCGAAATAATTTTTCCCATAGGTACTAATACGGTTTATTTTGCTTGGGTCGAGTGGCACGGACATTGGCTTTATTTCAGAATTTATTTTTTTTACTAACGGAACTAAAGCCATTTGATAAATATATCGACACATCCGTAGAACAAAGATCTATGTGCAAGACTACTTGTTCTCAGGACAAAGTACATTTCGTTCGTTCCTTCTTCGCTGTGGATGTCAGATCGACCGTTGTTCGATTTTGTATTTCCGAAACGAAATAAGGTACATACATTGTCGAAACACCTTTTCATAGGCCTTAGTTTGAATAAATAAATTATGCTCGTAACGTACTTATTCTCTTGTCGCTGTATAATCACATCGGACTCTGTTCTTCGGATGAGTCGATTTATTGTATTGTATACGTGTTCTATTTAGTTTAGTTGATATAAAAACAATCATTGGTATATGTAAAGTACTTGCTGAATACAACAGTTTTCTTGTAAAATTTCGAGGCAAGTTCGTGTTTTTTTTTTTTTTTCTATCGTGAAAGTTTTTAAGAATCGTATTTTCACACCGTATAGTAATCAGAATATATCCTCAATTTTACTATATATTTTTTTTAAGTGGTTGATTCAACACTGTTGTGCGGAACCAACCAAGGCCATTTGAGGTTGTATAGACTGTTATAGACCATCATCTTCTTTTCCTGTCAGTCGCAGTTATAAAATAATGAATGTTTATATTTCTTTCACTTGTTCGATCGACTTGAAATTTATAGAATAGAATAGAATACATTTATTACATAACACCACAACACAATGATAAACAGTAAAAAATAAAAAGTAAAAAAAAAGAAAAATAAAACAGAACTAAATTAAAACAAACAGAAAATGAATAACAAAAAAGAAAACTAAATAAAATTAATTGAAAATAAAATCTTAGCAATAAATAATTAAGCGACCACAAAGCTGGTCAACACTATTGTTGTACTAAGTAGATGTCATGTGTGCGGCTGTGGTGTATGTAATAGGATCCACTCAGCTAATGTCACCGCCGGGACAAGGCTGTGACGCTGATTTTCAGTGGACCCTAAGTATTTGGTGTATAGGTAATTGAAATCCGATTTCATTTCCATGGTAACCTTTATCTGATGCTGTAACAAGAACAGTCTGCAGACTACCAAACTCCTCAACTGCTTACAGCAGAACTATCACGTTTGGGCTCATTGAATTGGATTGGACGAAAATAGAATTTACAAGGTATGGAATAGGCTCATAGTCATTCGAGGGAAAATCTAATATCACGATGCAGAATTGCGATTTCAATGCCATCTAACGGTGCGTGGCGGAACTAATTTGTATTGTTGCATGTTATGTGATTTTGTTACATAATTGTAATTAAAAATTAAATAAATATCAAGCGTATCTGTGTGCTCGATCTTTATATTCGTAATGATAATCAAGAATTATATAATTTAAATTAAAAAATATAAAAAATTAATCGAAATTTTCTTTGTCACCATTGAATTGAGGTCAATGTTCGTCACTGTAGCGTTATATGGCAGTTCTTTTTTATGATACCAAGGGACGGTACGAACAAGTCGTGGGTCTGCTGGTAAGCGACTCGCCTGTCCATAGAAGTTGCAGTGTCACTCAGAGCTTTAAATAAAATGCAAAGATCTGAGGGGCTCTGCCAATGCGCCCGTCACCTTCAAAACCGGCACACAGTAATGGTCACATTGGTACTAGGCGGCAGAAATAGGTAAGATGGCAGTAGTTTCCTGGACGAACTCTTTCACAAGGAGCTCTATTGCTACTTAAAGTAATCGTTAATGGATACTACTCCTACGAACATACCATATTTGTACCATTTATTATTTCATAGCCATTTGTAGCCATCAAAACAAAAATGTTAGTTTTATCTTCCCATTGACAATAGTGACAAAATTGAAAGGTCTGTTTGGTACTCGTGACCCAAAACGGAGCCATCAATAAAGATTTTTCAATTTTATCACCTGTTCTACGCTTATCGACGACATGAAAAAAATGTGATGTTGAATAAGCCTATCTGCACGAAATTACATTCGATTTGGTACATTCGGGTGAAACTTTATTGGTGAGTAAAATTCCAGACTTCCGCCGAGAAGTTCTGAGGCGCGCAGAGAGGCATGGAGAGAGCAACGATTGGAGTTACCCTGCGAGACCGAAAAAGCGATGCTTGGATCCGAAATAGAACCAAAGTTAAATATGTCATGGCGAAGAAAAGGTGGGCGTGTGCGGGGCACATAGCGAGAATGGACGAGAGGCGCTGGACAAGGCGAGTACTTGAGTGGAGACCCAGAGCGGACATCAGAGGGCGCGACAGACCACCGCAGCGCTGGTTGGACGACATCCGATGACACGAAGCTCGGGACTGGACTAGTCGAGGACAAGATCGCCAAGAGTAATTTTTTAAGCTACTGCACGTTCACTACGCGGCGCGCGGGCCTTCCTAAGAAACACGAGCAAGAAACTTTAGGGATTGCTCTTTTTAAATAAACTTAAATGCTATGGAATACATTTTGAATCATAATTGTGTGGAATCTAGACCTGTGTTGTCGTTCCATACATCTTTATGTAATACATGCTCTTCAACTGCCTCCGTGGCCGAACGGTTACCATGCCGGACTGCCACGCAGAGGTCCCAGGTTCGATTCCCGGGCCGGGCGAAATATTTGTGTGACCTACATTTATTTCTCTCGTGAGTTTGGGTGTAATTTGTGGTTGTCTATGTGTGTGTCCATGGCACCCGCGACACAGGGTTTCCCTAATGCGGCGCTATGTTGAGTGTGTGCGTTATTATTATTATTAATTTTTTAATATGGCTTTTCAATTCAAATACTTTTAATGTAAGTTTTATACTTAGGAAATGATAATATTAATACATGCTCCTGAATCTTATTATAAAAACATATACAGTTCCCCACAAAAGAATCGTTTATCTTTGTTAAACGAAATCGTGGTACCATAATTATGATGCCTATGTTGAGTGTGTGCGTTATTTATTTATTTATTTATTTATGAGTTTGGACTAAGTTCTAATGTTTATATTATGGGAATCTTCTTTCTTAATGAAATTATGTATTTTTACGGGCATACAAAATACTTGAGTAAATGTACTGTGATGCCACAGTCATGTTACTTGTCTCCTTAAACTTTTCTTTGAGAGAAACCCGAGAACCTAAACGGTATATACAGCATGAATCGCTCGTTTTTGCAGCGCAAATATGGTGTGTATATCTGCGGAACGTAGTAATACTCGCTTTACTGCTTGGCGGCAGAAATAGGTAAGGTGACAGTACTTCACAAGGAACTCTACGCTACTATAAAATAACTACACTAAGCTCTGAGTGACAATGCAACTTTAATCGGCAGGCGTGTCCCTTAACACGACTCACGAAGGCGCACAACTTGTTCGTCCCGTCATTTGATATAAAAAAAACTAATAATATTATTTTCGAATTTACTGCTCTGCTTTGCTCCACGATTGTAAATAACTGGTTTCACAAATGAATTTTTTTCTTACTCGAATATTTTTTTTAAAAGCCAAATTTTCAAAAGAGTACGGCGGCGCTAAATGGGTTAACTTAGATTTTTTTACAGTCTTTAATAAACAAAATATACCCGTAGACAAATTTAGAGATGAAATAGGTTGAATTATGATAACAAAGTTATTTTAAATCAATGACCACAGAAACCAGAACGTTAAATTTGAAAAAACAATGGCTTAAATCATCTTTGATTTCGATTAAATGTTCTGATATATTATGTAGCCAGCGATTCATTGAACGTTGTTATAATAAAAAATGAAACTATTTTTCCGGATTTAAATCGTGTATATTTGTTTTTTCGAACAAACCAACGTTTCGGGCCCTTTACAGGTCCCATGGTCACGGTTGACACAGTCGCGATGGGACCTGTAAAGGGCCCGAAACATTGGTTTGTTTGAAAAGAAACAAATATACGCGATTTAAATCCGGAAAAATAGTTTCATTTCCTATGTTGTTATAATAATTCAACCATTATCTAGCGTTCCTAGATATATATAAATATGCCCGTGAATATAGTACGATTACACGTCTCTCTTCAAGTGCACGTTTGCTAACGAGAGCATTTAATTTTAAAATTTTTATGCCCGGAGTTAATAAACTTGTTACTGAGAATGTGTTTGTTAACAAAAGTTGCGAAATCGTGTTAATTTCGTCGGTTTTCGGAGTTGAAAATATTTCTCAAGACTTACCTTATAATAAACGAATGATATTTAATAACATCAACAAGCTTCAATCTGACTTCCACATCACTGCATTCGCCCGTGAAACTAGTTTTCAATTTATACTTCAATATGTTAATATGACCAATCAAATGGTACACGAACATGAAGTTTAAAGTATTAAAAATAACAATGATGATACAGCCACTCCATACTAAATACGCGGTGAAGCTATGGTACATGATCCAATGGTTGAAATCATATTCGTAATCGAAAGGAACAACCAAGTAAAGAACTGTTTCGAGGCGCATGGTCTTGTTTCTAATAAGTTCTCTGTTCTTGTAGTTATTCCAACATGTTATGGACATCCAGGCGGCCCAGTCCATCATGAGAAACACCAGGAGGTAATAGAACGTCCAGCGTGTTAAACGTTCTATGATTCGTAGGTTCTGAAAATTCAATTAATATGAATCATTGATTTGTATACTGAGTTTGTAAATCACGGTTGATTTCCATGGTACACTTGTATTACAACTATTGTAAGAATAAAATCATATTCGGTCAGCAAATAAAATAATCTTACATCTTTTACAAACTCGCCTTGATCTTGGTAGTTGTAAATGTGAATGCGCGTCATAAAATCTTTCATTGTCTTTGTGTATACGTCGAATCTTGCAGAAAATACGTTGGTCTGAAATAGTTCCCACATGTCTTAATTGTTGTTGTTGTAAAACCAAAAAAATAAGCTACAAGAAAAATTTCGATCAAGATTTAATCTGAAGCTATAAACGCACCCAATACGAAACACAACTTGTCGTTCCTTACTGACAAAAAACATATAAAGAGATATTTTATCTAAATACCAAGAAAACATTCAGCAAAACTTTAACCCGAAATTATAGTAATTAGAGTAAATAAAAATATTCTAGTACCTAAGGCCAAGCCGAAACACAACATATCGTTGACTATGACGAAGAATATTTGAAGATTGTTGAAGTATTTTGTATATTTATTGTGATTCGAAAGGGATTTAGAAGATTTAAGCCGACGATCTTGAGACGCGTCGTCTTTCTTTCCACCGACATTTTCCTTGTAAATTAGGGTCTATATTTTACAATTATTAAGTAATAATTAAAAGAAATAACGACACAAGTAGAACAAATGAGAATATAAACGACGATGAGGTCGACTTCAGATGCGCAATTGAAGAGACCCTTAAAAACGTCCAGGTCAAAAGTACCAATGATGAAAAAGCCGTGTATGAGAAGATATGTGGAAGAAATAAAAGAGGGTAGAAGTAAGAGTGTAGCGGGTAGAGGTTTACCGTTTCTGCCAGCTCCGAAAATATTGGCGTTATTGCATGACAACAAAATTATAATATGTAAAATTATATTATGTCCGGCCATTTTTTCGAACATGGCGACTGCTTCAAGAGAGTTGTGTACCTTACTTTAGAAAATTGAAGATATTTAACCTAACATCGATGTATAATTACGAGGCCTGTATTTGTGTGAAACAACATCTAAGCGACTTTAATATACTTGTTAGATTTTTGTATTAATAAGTATAACAAACTAGTGGAGTAATATCACATAAAAATAAATTGAATATCAATTCAAAAAAAATTTAAATACAATGAATAACGACATCTCTAGCCGGGGCTGACAGCTGTAAAGGTATCTAACTGGGTGACGAAATATCGTAGATTTCTCATAGATTTCTCATAGAGGCGCTACGGCTAAAAAGTCGTTGAAAAACCAAATAAAAAGATACGACGCAAGCACATAGAAAAATTCGTGAGGTCCGCTGATTCGTTCTGTGACTTAGTTGGTATAGCGTCTGGCACGGTATGCTAGAAGACGTCGGTTCAAATCCGGCCAGATCAAAGGAATATTTTCTGAGTGTTCGATATTTGTATTAATAATTATAACAAACTAGTGGAGTAATTTCACAAAAAATAATTGAATATCAATTCAATAAAACTTTAAACTTCAATATAGTAAAAACTAGATATCCTAGAAATATAATGAATAAAATAGAAATACGGCCCAATAACGCCCTAATTTTGATTTATAACTTCCTATTTTCTGGTTAAATTCCAATTGTCATTGTTTGTTTACGCTATTGTATTAATTTATCTTTGAAAACATGCCACATCAAGAGTGAAATAAGAATTGTGTAAAATATTCACATGCCAAGCCTTGGCGAAATTTACGATCTAATATAATATACTATAGGACCTGCATTGTTACTACATTGTTCAGCTAATAAATATCGTGTATTCTTGTATTCGACGAGTCCAAAGAAACGTAAGCGGTCATTTACACAGAATTTTCTAAGATGAGCAAACGTCCGTGCCACCGCAAGCGCACTTGTCCTTCCAAGGTGAAGTTAAATTATGTGATTGATCAACGACGGCAACTAATAAGTTTACATCCTCTACCATTGCTCTAGGCTATTCGCCTTGTCTTATGTTATTTATATCTGTGTTCGGTTGATTTTCTTGCCGACACAGACTTTATGCTCTATGCAAAAGGGATCCGCGTCGAAAACAAAAGACTGTGGGAGATATTTAGTAACGAGTGGAGGTGGAATAAGGTAATTAATTGGATAAGTAAAGAACTAGAGTAGCTAGAGAGTCCGGAACCGCATACCCGTATCTACACTGAGAAGACAGGTAAGCAAGCAATTTAAGCCCTTCGCTCCTCTTATACTATTACACTAAACATACTTCTAACTTTTATTCCAACTCTTTTACCATTTCTGTGATCAGATTGTGGAATTATCTCCCTGAATCGAATTGACGATCCCCTTCTCTTGATTCCTTCAAATAACCTGTCTAGGATCACTTAACACTTAACTCCTAAGTTTCGTCTTTCCTCTACTATCCTTTCATTTAATAATAATAATTATAACGCACACACTCAACATAGCCCCGCACTAGGGAAACCCTTGTGTCGCGGGTGCTATGGACACACACATAGACAACCATAAATTACACCTAAACTCACGAGAGAAATAAATCATAAATATTTCTCCCGGACCGGGTATCCGTGGCAGTCCGGCATGGTAACCATTAGGCCATGGAGGCAGTCAACTTATTTCCTTTATTTATACTTCATTTTCCTTTTTCCTTTGAAAGTATATAAGCATTTAATATTATTATTTATTTATTGTTATGTATGTATTAATGTTATTAATATTCACCTATAGTATATATACGTAGATACGTATGTATATATTTTTATAATTACTTATTATGTTGTGTACTTATGATGATATTCTTTGTTTGTACCTCTTTTGCTAATCCCAAATGTCTATCCTAAAGGTGCCTTTAAGAAATTGCTACATAGCAATAAGGCCGCCTGTTGCACATTAACTTATTACTACTATTATACTTAAGCTATTGTATTGTGTTTTAATTGTAATTTTATGTGGAATAAAGAATATTTCATTCATTCATTCATTCATTTATTCATTCGTTTGTTCGTTCATTTATTCATTCAATTTAAAGATAAGCCTCCTGGATATATGCCATCATAAACTTATAAGACAATACTTACGTTAACCAAAAATGTGACAGGCATGATAGAAAGCATAATACCTAGCGTTCCGAAAGTCAACTCTTTGTGGTTTAGGAATAAATATACGATCTGTGACACGAATGTGATGGGCGCAGCTTTTATCACCAAGTACCTGTATAAAACAGATTGAAAAAAAAATCGTGAAGTCAGAAAACCGCTAAGAGCGATGCCACTACGCGTTGCGTTGCGTCATCGTTGCGAAGCCTGAGGGATGGCGCTGAGTTGTACTATTATAAATTAGAAGTACATGCCACATGGTGCGTTAAATGGTGAGTGGCGACGTAACGAGTGTGCGTCGGACAAGGGATCAGAAGGTAAACTGGGGAGGGGTGACGCGGTGCGTATTGCGACACCGCCGCAATGCTCGGCACCCGGTGCGTTGAAATCTCGTGCAACGATACGCACCGGCAGCACTCGTATGGCATCGCTCTGAAACGTACTCGGGGTAGAAATTCTTTGCCGTCCAAATTTATTACCAACGTGTTGAAAGAAGGATGGCGAAAGCTGACCCAAAATCAACGAAGTGCTTTTCATGGACTTTGCTTGTATAATTTTACGTTTTAGTTAAAGCCTAGTAATCAATATATTTTTGTATATTTTTAGAAGTCGGAAATAAGGAAATTGCAAAACAATGTCTTTTAGAATAGATGCAAGAGCACAACGCAATTGATTCGTTGGACCATAGATTAGATAACGTTCTTGTACGTACGTTTCGTTTTAAGCATGATTGAATGTTTACCTACCAGAAGTATTGGTTATTTTATAGTACACACTTAAAACATTAAAGCTATAAAATACTTAATCAAATAATCAATTAAACAATATTGACATACAGTAAAAAATAAAACACAATGTGACAAAAATGTTTAGACAATATTTAAACGAGAGTTACGAAAATTAGCAAACGTTTTGACAAGAGGCCTCTTGCCAATGTCAATGTCAAATTGAGATTGAGAACAGTGTGACATTTTTGTCAGATTTCTGCCATTTGAGCAGATTTAATTTTTATTAATTTTCATTGTGACCGAACATGTTAACGTTGTATTAAATGTGGCAGAGTTTGGCAGATTTAGGAATATTCAGCAAGTTCTTTATTATTTTTAAGAGCAAACTGAAAACTTGTTGTTTTGTGCTACTACGAACAAACATCTGTAGCGAAATACAGGACAATGTAATAAACATAACTTATATCAACTATATAACCCCTGCTTCTACAGGCTGTACTCAATTAGCTTCTTTAATGCTTTGATAATTAATCACAAGTATTGATAGGTCACTTTAATGCATGTCGTCAAAAAGATGCCGCCATCCTTCTTTAATTTTATGAAAATATTTTTTTTAAAGTCATTAAAGAGAAAACAGTTAATACAAAAAAGAAGCTAAACAGTAATATAAATTCCTTTGATAGTCGTGAAAACAATAGAAGATTATTATTATTATTATTACTCTTTACAGAGTACTAAAAAAACGGACCTCAAAAGTCTGAGATACCCTCTTTCTAACAAACAAAGAACCATCAAAATCGGCTCACATCGTTATCGCGTAACATACATAAAAAAATACAGACAAATTGAAAACCTCCTTCTTTTTTTGAAGTCGGTTAAAAATAAGACTTAATGTGCTCTGATTTTTATAACGAATTGTTATTCTTTACGCTCATAGGCCGAAATTGACCGAAAGAGTTTGTAATGCGATGTAAAAAGGTAATTACTTAAGTTATATTTATCCTTAGGAAATAAAACTATTTTTCCGGACTACATCTGGTTATTTTAATTTATTTTATGTTAGTTATAACTGGTTGAAGACTATACCACCTCAGTCAACCGTGACCATGGGACCTGTAAAGGGCCCGAAACGCCGGTTTGTTTGAAAAAACAAATATACGCGATTTAAATCCGGAAAAATAGTTTCATATCCTATGTGTAACAATCGCGAAAACCTAAGAACTCGATATACATTTATCCTTTTTAAGACCGACGTACCTGTTACATCGCATAAATAAATTAGGCGTGCTGTATCCCCATAAGGATTTATCTCCAGTTGCAGTGAATGTCATAATTAAGCCCAACACTCGGTAGAATTGCTGCCCCTTTGGGTTTCCACTGAAATGTTAAATTTTGTTAATCTTCGAATTTTTTTAAATAATAATATCTAGTGACGGGACGAATAAGTGGTGCATCTGATAGTAAGCTACACGTCTGTCCATAACAATTGCAGTGTCACTCAGAGTGTTAAAGTGTAAATGTCTGAGGGGAATTGCCACTGTGTCCGTCATCCTGAGATATAAGTTGACAAGTCTCATGTGCTTATAATTTCACCAGCACCCTTATCCCTCTAAATCGGAACACAGTAATATTCACATTACTGCTTGGCTGCAGAAATAGGTAATGTGGCAGTACTTCCCTGGACGAACTTTTACAGATGGCTCTACTACTTCTAGAATAACCAGTTCATAGTGCTGTCCCGTAAGCACGCTCTATAGATGTATCCCGAAGTGATGTAAAGAACAAATCTACAAGTTCAAAATCACAAAAACTCTTACAGAAAATAGTCTTCATGTTTCGCCATGTTAAGATTTAAAGACAACGTTCGGTTAAAGTAAAGCCTTCTTACTGAAATCGTACACCCATGAAATGCAACCTTTATTTATGCGTCATTATGTGAGGCTAGTGATGGCCCTTAGCTTTGTTCGAACCGAATATCTTTTAAAAAAATTAACTTCCCTTTTATTTTAGTCTCATAAGAAAATGTATTATTAAACCGGAGTATTCTCAGCCTCTGTCTGTAGCTCAGTTGGTTAAAGTGTGAGTAGCATGGCAATATACACTGGTTTGAGTCCAGTCAGATCGAAAGAATTTTTCTTTGTTTTGTTCAATATTTGTGTCAATAATGATAATAAACTACTGGATTATTTTCGTTAAAAATATTTAGTACCATGATAAAATTGACATGATTATCATGGTACTAAATATTGTAAAATTAAAATTGTCAACTAACCAAACTCTATAATAACCATCCGTATTAAGTTTTTGTTTAACTGTAGTTTTATTTCAAACCTTGTACTCGTATATTACTAATTTTGAATATCAACAGAAACTCTTAATATAATAGTCTGTCTTTTTTGAAGACGAAGTAAAATGACATTTGCAGGGTTGCCATTTTTCATAAAATTTTAAACAGTCATGTCGTTGTTGTTGACAGTTTTATCGACAGATCGTCAAAAGAAGATAACATTTTGCTAATTGTCTTTGTCTTCTTCATTCTTATTTTGACAGTTGACCTCACAGGTTGGCCTAATAGTATCGAAATCAATTTCTATTCATATAGATTTTACCAGGAACAGGCGGATTTGAATATAGATATATTAAGCGCCCTTTACATAGGCACAATATCATGCGCGATTGAACGCTCGTGTTGGAAGGAAAAGGAAAGAATTGCGCACGTCAGTCGCGCACTCCAATACGCGCCAGATTTACGCGGTCTATCTTGCGTTATTAGCCATATTAGCAATCGAGCGCGAAAGAACGTGTGCTTGAAAAAATTCAAACCGGTTGCGCACTACTGCGCGATCGCGCGCGATAGAGTGACTGGTGTAAAGGGGGCTAACGAATTTGAAATGAAAACACTATAAAATATATCTCCTTTTTATACTTTTAATAGACATAGTTCTAGATACAGTATATATAGGTATGTATGAGTTATATATACTTATAAGTATAAAAATAATCAAGTAATAAAATATATGATAATAACAATAAAAGTGCGCTTGCAATCAGCTAATAATTGCAGTCTGTAGACTGCAATCACTAGTTGTTTGCAAGCGGACTACACTTTTGCGCAATTAAAGGAATTCTACTCCATCTTCAACAAAGGCAGACTACAGAAGCGTATACACGAGTATAATTATTTCATTATACTTTGTAAAGACGTCTGTCAAGTTTAATATTCTTAATGTAAATGACATTTATATAAATTAACTGTGTCGCCAGTGTAAGAAAATTAATCTCCTTAATCCGGTACACAGATGTTTTGCTTTGCGGAGAAAGTACATAGAGAAATGTCTACTCATACCTATTCTGTATAAACAAAGGACTGTGACACTAATTAAATTACGATGAGAGTATTTATGGTTCCTACGTAATAGATACATCACTCTCATACAAAATCGAAATACTTGCCTACTACATCAGATTAATGATACTAGGCGCTCACTACGAGGAAAAAGGAACCAAAATACGCGCACAGAGAGGTGAATATAACGTTGCCTATCGTGTGCAGTCGTGCGGAGCCGAATACTCATAAATGAAAGACTTGTAAAGTAGGTTGTGAAAGACATATTGTCACCATTCCTATTTCTGCCGCCTAGTAGTAATATAAGCATTAATGAGTTTCAGCATTGAAGGGTAAGGGTTGAAACTACAGATACATGGGACTTGTTAACTTATGTCCCAGGGTGACGAGTGCCAGTGGCACTGCAACTGGGCAGGCGTGCTGCTTACCACAAGTTGCATGACTTGCTCTGTCACTTGATACTCTTAAATTGCGAAGACGTCTGGGCGTTAATTCCAAAATGATCGTGTTCAAAATTGTTTAGTAGCAGTAAAACTCCTTTCGAAAGAATTTGTCTAGGAAAGTACTGTCACCTTACCTATTTCTTCCACTAATCAGTAATGTAAGCGTTTTGTTTTTTATAATGCACACATTAATAGCCCCGCACTAGGGAAACTCTGTATCGCGGGTGCCATGGACACATACATGACTACCCCAAATTACACCCAAATTTACGAGAGAAATAAACCTCCCGGTCCGAAAATTGAATCCGGAACCTCTGCGTGACAGACCAGTATGGTAACCGTTCGGCTACGGAGGCAGTTTTTGAAGGGTATCTAAGGGTGCTGGTGATATTACGCGCAAATGGGACTTTTCAACTTACGTTTCCGGGTGACAGGCACAGTGGCAGTGTTCCTCAGATCTTTGCAATTTAAAGCTGAGTGGCATTGCAACCTCTTCAGACTGACAACAGGCGTGTCACTCGTTTACTACTAGGTGAAAAAAAAGGTCTTTATATAAAAAAAAATTAGATTCTTTCAACAAACATACCTTTATCTGTTACGTAAAATGATACTTCGCGAATTGAAAGAGAATCTTAATATCAAAATTACTAAGAGAACATATTTACCTTTCATCGATTACTATCAAGAACACTTAGTTGATAACTTATAATCATTCACTCGAATCCACTTCAGACGGCAAAAATTACAGAGTATACTTGTAATTTGTTTAGTACCAGGCAATCATGTTACTATTTCAATCAAATGCAAAAACTGAAATTTGAAAAAGTACCTGTAGAAATTATCACAAATAATATGTTTGAACTCATTTTATTATAACCTGTTATAATTATTAATACAAAGATCGAACACTTACAACACAACAACAACACAATAAAAAATCTTTCGATCCGACTGGCATCACCATGTCAGAGTAATGGCGCAACATACACAAAAAAATACTGAATTGATATGTCCATCAGTAAGCGATACCAAGAAACTGCGATTCCTTTGACGTCGTCTCTCTACTTCATCTTCACGTATTTCTTGTCCGAGCGCCTCCACAACTAACAGTATTCACTATTTTTTTACATAAACGATGTACAAACGATACCCTCGAGCTATCGTTGGTTTTATGTCAGTTCTAAGATGAAAATAATGTCAAAATACGACACGAAAGCAACTACTTGTGTCAAATTATATTTGTTAATTATTCGCTTGTATTTGTTCACCCCGCGCCTGATCTATTATTCGTTTACTTGCTTTGCCTTATAGGGAAATAACGCTGGTAATACATTAAGCTGGTACTCACGTGTTTGGTACTATAGCATACTATAACAGGGAACGTAGCTTGGGTAGCGTAGCGAGAGGTACTTTATAAATGTAGGATTGTGAACGGAGTGAAAGATTTGTTTCTGAACGATGAAGTGTGAGAGGGAAGGATGCAGGTGACGGATGACAGATGACTTCTCTTTGGCTATGGCTCTCGATACTGGTGGTTGCGTACGAGTTGTTTTTTCCAAATTTTTAAAATAAAAGTGATCAAATTAATTTATACGTTTTATTTCCATCCCACATTTTGGGGGCTCGTCCGGGATGGAAATAAATCATCGGTAAAAATCAATCATCGGACGGCGTTTTTCTACAAAATTTGGCGTGGGAGCAATGGCGGACGTCGATTAAGACATTTTCAAGCAATATTTAAGGTGAATAAGGCGAAATACAGGCGAAGGTGTGCAGAAATAAAGGTGAATTTGAAGATTAAAGGCGATCAAGGCGAAATTTGTTGAAGATGACGGAGAGAAAACGTGATGAAGGTGAGGTCAATGCGGCGGCATTTTCGTTCGATGGCCTCGTGCACAAGTACGACGGTAACGACGCATGCTACAGCTGTTTCAAATGGATTCAAGATATTGACGACAATGCGGAAATATTTGGTTGGACACCTGCACAAAAACTTGTTGTGGCTCGTCGCTCATTATCGGGAACGGCGGAGCTGTGGTTGAAATCCGAAAAAGTGTTCAAAACGTACGACGACTTTAAGGCGGCAATCCTGAAGGAGTTTCCTGACAACCTAAACAGCAAAGAAGTGCATGAAATGATGTCAACTAGGAAGAAGAAAAAAGATGAAAGTTGTTACGAGTATATGCTCGTCATGAAAGAGCTCGGAAAGAGGGGCAAAATCCCTGATTATGTCACAATACAATATATCGTGGAAGGGATAGTTGTAACGAATTAAATGAGTAAGGTAATGTTGTACGGTATTACAAGCTACAATGTTCTCAAGGAGAAACTATCTCTTTATGAAAACATGAAAAAATCGATCTCAAAGAAACGTCAGGAGTCAATGCCGTTAAATTGTATGCCGGCTGCCGGTAGAAACGTTGCATGTTCGAGTCCTCGTCGCTGTTTCAAATGTGGAGAGAGAGATCATGTGGCAAATGCATGTCCGTATGGTGTCAAGTGCTATAAGTGCAACGAATTCGGACATATTTCTTCAAAATGCAATGCTTCATTGTCAAAAGGGCAGGTATTCGAACAGCCTTCATTCAATCGTCGTCGTGACCAAAGTAGTGGCAATGGTGGTGCAGCGAGCAGACCTCATCATACAGCCTGGCAGCCCCGTGCGATGTAGACACAGGAGACACAGCAAGAATTCTGTGATAGAGGCGCTGCCGAGGAGCGTTATTTGTCAATGTGTAGCTATGACAGCTCTCGTTTTGGTAGTTTGTGTCAACCGCATATGAATAAATCTGTGAAACCATTGGACATTGGCGGTGTCAAAGTGGACGGTTTAATAGATTCTGGCAGTGATGTTAATTTAATTTCTATGGAGCTATTTTTCTCATTAAATATCATATCATATGTGTCAGAAAAAATCGAATTTACAGGGCTTGGTGCGGCAAAAGTTTGCTCAATTGGCAAAGTTGTGTGTAACATAAACATTGATGGACACTGCTTTAGTTTGGAGTGTTACATTGTACCAAAAGATGTATTGCCTTATAAAATAATATTAGG